CCACTGAAAACTCAGAAAATATCACCTCAAGAAAAACCCTGGAACAGCTGAACCAGAAGAAAGATGAGGTGCACCAGTCCAGTAGCCCAGATAGCTTGAGGGATTAACTGGAAAGGCCTCTCTTACCCTGGGGGAAGGGGAGCAGTGCTGAACGGGAGGCATGTCGGCAAGCTAGTGGAAAGCCCCGCCTCAGCACACTGGGGAGGAGATGCAAGCAAACACCACCACCTGGACCCCCGAGTGCCTCAGTGAGGGTCTAGGGAACCGGTGGAAACCAGCTCAGAAAAACAACAGGTACCTCAGCATTCTACAGCAACGAGCTCTCTCAGCGCCTCAGTCAAACTAAGGGAAGCAGCACCCCGAGGGGCCCCAGGCAGATAAACACACTACAACATCTATCTGAAAAGAGCTGAAAAAAGTGAAAGGAGGGAAAGGCCTGGGTGAGCAGGAAATCTCCAGGAGCTGCACTACCCAATCCTACCCCTAGAGTTCCAGTGTTGCTGATTGCAGTCCAACAACAGATAAGCTGCCAGAACCTTACAGCCTCCAACTGCTGACATTGGAGGCCTCAGCACACAAAGCCATTGACCAGGCCCTAGGCTCCCAACACAAGAAGCTTGGGTCAGTGCCCTCTGCTCCCCAGCAGGAGAGCTCAGTCTCTTTAAAGGGCAGGGAATAAGCAAACAATATGAGTGATTCTTATTATGGAAAGAGTAAAGATCAAGGCAGAAATTCTGAAGCGGACAACATTGTCAACAAACCCACATCTGGAACCACAAAAGGAAATAGAAACTGGTCTGAAGCTCAAAAAGCCTTCTTAGAAGAGCTCAATAAGGATTTTAAAAGTCAAATGAGAGAGGTAGAAGAAAAAATGGGAAAAGAAATGAGAGGTATGCAAGAGAAGGTCAATAGCTTGGAAAAGAAATATGACCAAAATTAACTGTAGAAAACAAGTCCGTAAAAAACACAATTGGCCAACTGGAAAAAAGTACACTGAAGAAAGCAAGTCCCTAAAAATATGATTGACCACCTGAAAAAAAAAACAACACTGAAGAAAACAAGTCCCCAAAAAATACAATTGGCCAATTGAAGAAGGAAGTACGAAAACTAACAGAAGAAAACATTTTGGAATGAATGAGCAGTTGCAAGTAAACAAGCAAGTAAAGTGGTGGTGGTGCTAATGCAAGGGACATACAGATTTTATGAATGTTTTACAGGAATAATCAATACAGCTTGGTATCTGTCTTGATTTTGGTAAAGAGATTTGATGATTTCTCAAAGGTTTTAATCCTGGGAAATTGGGAGCATGATATCTTAGGAAGGCACTAAGGAGAGAGATGTTTAGATACGTTAAGTTCAAGGTAATGACAGAATATCCAAATAAAGGTGTCTAGCAGTAGTTAGAGATTGGAGCTTAAGGATTCATCCAACTAGATGAACTGAACAACTTAGACATTCAATAAAATGACCTTGTGAGCCAATACTTCATGAAAGCAAGTAGCTTTATGAAAATCTGTATGTTCCAATTTATTCTAAGTAAATTCATTGTAGGAAAATGCATCATGTATATGTTCAGATGATAAACAATTCCCTTTATAGGAAAACTAAATTAATTTTATTGGGCTATTTGGATTTCTTCATCATGCCCCCAGGAAACTCAACATCCTACAAGACCATCGCAAACTACTTATACTTCATCAGTACCATTTGAGTGGAGGCAGGAGCAAAGAGCTCCTTCAAAGGCTTCCATTTAAGGGAGGCACCCAGGCCATCCATGGCTTCATTTCCTAATGGGCTGCACGTGTTTGGATTTCTCCATCATGCCTCCAAGAATTTCATGGTCCTGAAAGATGGCAGCAGCCTTGGTACTTACACCTCCTCAGTAACTTCTGTCCTTCTAATTTGAGGGGCTAGCATAGAAGTCCTCCCCAAACATTCATTTAAAGAAAGTGCTGAAGTAAGTCATTTGCTAATTCTCATTCAGTTTCATTCTATTGTACTTCTCCATAAAGCCCCCATGCCAGGAACCACTTCCCTACCGCATGCTTTATGAATTCTTTCTTTGTGTTGTATCATCCCCATAAATTTTAAGCTCCTTGAGGGCAGGAACTGTGTTTCTTTTTAATATTTATTTCTCTAAAATGTAGCATAGTGCCTGGAAGAAAGTAGGTCGAGAGGGCTTTGAGCCTCCCCTCCAGACTGTGAGATTTTAGGGAGGTCAGGATGACTACATAGGAAGCTATCAAGAGGAGAAAGTTTAAGAGGCAAATGAATCCAATAGTCCCAAGGCATGGGTATCCATGCAGACAAGATTGAGCGAAGGGAATACATCGCACATGAAATGATCTATGATATTGGGGCCACAGAAAGGGAGCCAGACTGTGACAAGAAGCTGTATTATTGCATGGAGAAAGCCCCCAGCCCAGGCTACCCCCACCAGGAGGCCACAGAGCCTCTGGCTTATAATTGTGGTATAGTGAATCCTGTGCCCCTCTGTCCTCAGAAGAATATTTTAAAGACATGAAATAAAATGAAGTAAGGTTATGATGGATTATATCGAATTATATTTAACAAAATGTTGAAGAAATGAAGTCACAGACCCTCAAGTTAAGAACATATTTTCTCATCATTTAATATTTTGTGTTCTCATAGTCTATCAACCCTGGCCTTAATTTGTTTTTCTTCCTCAGAGTCTTCATCCTGTAGATATATGGAATATTTTGGGGAGTACCCTCTATGAACCCTGAGGATTCTATTCCCATAAATACTCTTGGTATGAGAACATGTATGAGTTGTTTTATTGCCAGAACAGCCTAAAGAGATTATACTTGTGGATGTAACACAAGATGAAATAATTACTCGAAACTTTGAAGAGTAGGTGGGAGAGCTGGAGATTAAGACTCCCACAAAATCATACTCATTCTTTTTGGCTTGGTTGTATTAGGTTTGTGACAGTCAGGTCACCCTCTATGGACATTAACCTCTGTAACACATGAGTAATGCCTTTGTTCAGAACCAGGGATACATAGATGTCCAAGCCAGACAGATGCAACAGTCCATGACATTGGGGAGCTGTCCAGGTCATTTGTGAAGATACAATCAAAATAATCAATGAAAGCTTCAGCAGAGTTCCTTAATTCCTTTATGGATTAATTCTTGTTAGTGAAGCCCCTGTGTTCATTCCATGCCTTAATAGGACAGGGGGGCTTATGGAACTGATTGTTGAAAACTAAAAAGAAATTAAATAATAAAAAATAAAAATAGTAAGGCTAACTAGAAATACAATACTGAGTTTCCTTGCTGACTCAGTTCCAGAGAATTAAGAGATTGGAAATGGACTACAAATAAAAAGAAGGGGGATTGGAATAGAGGTGTTGTGTCCTTTGATGCATGTTTCTAATTTCTCTTGGTCGTATCATGCTTTTACCAATCAAATAAACTGTTCAACCACACCCTTGAACTTTGACAGAATGACATAATTCACAGGACCATTTAGGAAGTGAGTAGAGTGTGGGTGAATGAGAAATATACAATAATTGTTGACAGATGCTCTTTGGTTTATGTGCATTATCACTATTGAAATTTACTGTTAAGGAAATAAATGACTTAATTTTATTAGAAAAATTCATTTTTACCTTAAAAACACTCTGAAAATGTCTGAAAAATCTGCAGGGGTCTTGACACCACATTTTGAAAGCTGGTAAACTGATGGATGACTAGTAAAATAAATAGTGGTCCCAAAAAAAGTCTTTATTAAAAAAAAGTCATGCTAGACAAATCTTAATCTTATATAAAGTTAAATAAATGACAAAGATATAGATCAATAAAGAAACATAGATTTAAATAGATGTACATACAGATATGTAACATTACTTGATAGATCAGGATAAATGATGAATGTATGATTTATCCAAATTTTATCAGTATATCTGACAAAAACCTTTGTTCTATTATTGTGAACAGAATGGACAAGAAGAACCAATGTAGGTTAGATGATAGTGCAGATGGATGGATTGAATCAGAATCAAATAATGTTGTTTACGTTGTGGGAGGAGGTCTTTGGAGATGTTACCTAGAGATATGTTCATGGTCCTTCGCTTTTCAACATTGTCCTCCTTCTCGCACTCTACATTTCAAAATGGATCTTCTTGCTGCCCTTCACATACAGCATTCCATCTCCTTTGCAATTCCTGTACCCCATGCCTAATAGACAACCTTTTCTTTTCTCCACCTAATTAAACTGTAGCATCCTTTAAGGCTTAGACCAAATGTTATGCTTTACTTGAGATGAGCCCTGATTTCCCATATGCCCCTAATATTTGTTCCACCTCTGAAATTAGATAGTGTTTGTTTTGTATCTGTTTCATATTTACTTCTGAGTGTTCATTTTGTTTTCCTCACCCCCTTATATAATGCAAACTTCAGAAGGGCAAGAATGATTTTATTTTGCCTATGTATCACCCACACCTAGCATTCAGTCCATCAATAATGATTTAATAAGTACCGACTATGTTCTGGGCACTGTGCAAAATACCTGATACAGAGTAGACATACACAAAATTATTGTGACATTTAATTGATCTTTTTAATGAAAGGCAATGCTACACTAGCATTTCATTCGTGAAAAAAATGAAGTTTACCTTATTTATATATGTATAAATATGTATATATTCAGCAATTAAGGATATAGCATAGTCTGCTCATAAACAATATAGGTCTCTCATTTCTTCTTTATTATTCATTCATTGGTTCCACTAAAAACAGCTTGACAAAGCTAATCATGTACAGCCTAATGTGGCATCCTTTTTACATATTATAGAAATCATATAGGAAAAGCTCCCAATGCGGACGCAATGAACACCAGTTAGCAATTTCTTTTTTTTTTAAAATATATCCTTGAATTTTCCCTTCACTCATCAACAAAATCCTTCTTTTAATATTTTTCCTTCCTGACCCTCACACTTGACGTTGAGTCTGGTGGTTTTATTAGGGGCCCTTTACTAGCTAACCAAAGTATCCTTTCGGCTGCATAATTTTCTGATGGCATTTTTCATTTGGGCATTTCTCAGTGTGTAGATGAAAGGGTTTAACGTGGGGGTGATAATTGTGTAGAAGACTGCAACGGCTTTATCAATGGGAAAGGTTGTTGCAGGCCTCATATAGATAAAAATGCAGGGAACAAAGAACAGAACAACTACAATGATGTGAGAACCACAGGTAGAGAGGGCTTTGCGTCTCCCGTCTACACTGTGAGTCTTCAGAGAACTCAGGATGACAGCATAAGAGACAATTAACAGGAGGAAGTTTAAGAAGCAGATGAAACCACTGTTGGCTGCGACAAATAAACCAAGTTTGTGAGTGTCAGTGCAGGCAAGGCTCAGCAAAGGATTTAAGTCACACATAAAGTGATCTATGACATTGGGACCACAAAAGGGTAATTGGATCAGGAAGAGCATCTGTATAGTTGCATGAATTAAGCCTCCCATCCACACCACACCCAACAAGAGGCCACGCACTCTCCAATTCATGATCGTTGTGTGGTGCAGGGGCTTGCAAATTGCTACACACCGGTCATAAGCCATTGCTGTGAGCAGGATGCCCTCAGCACCTCCGAAGAAGTGTTCTCCAAAGACTTGGGTCATGCAACCAGTGAAGAAAATTGTTTCCTTTTCATAGAGTGAGTCTATAATGAGTTTAGGTGTGTTAACAGATGAATAGCAGGCATCTATAAAGGACAGGTAGGCCAGAAAAAAGTACATAGGGAATCCAGGCTTGGGCTGATTTTGATGGTTATGGCAATGAGTGTGTTACCTACCATTGTAATAGCATAGATGATAAAAAACACAACAAAAACAATTTTCTGCATCTTTGGATTCTCTGTAAGACCCAATAGAATAAATTCAGTCACATTGTTTCCATTATCCATTTATTCCACACAGATGTTGAATTCAGGCAAGACTTTTTTATCTGCAAAATAGGCAAAAGTTTTCAGGAAGGGAGCCTTGTATTTTTTATTTTATTTTATTTTGCTCTAGAAAGGTCATGTGGAAAAAGATTGGCCTTGGAATCAAAGAAGACTACCTTAACATGCCATATACCCAGTCACTGGATAAACTTGAAGTAGGCAATTTATACCTTCTGAGTCTCTATACACTTATACTTGAAGTGGCTCAGAGAAGAGGCACGTAGTATAGTGAAAGGTCACAAGATATGAACTTAAGAAGACCTAGGTTCAAATTGCTCTCAAATGCTTAACACAAATAATAGTTAGAGTAGCTATCATTTATATGGTACTTATAAAGTACTGTATGCTTGTTTGTAGTTGTGAGTGTTTTGAAAAGTTATTTACATATGTTCTCTCATTTCATTCTCACAACAACTCTGGGATTGATGCTATTATTCTACTCTTTTAGAGATAAGAGAATTGAGGGTAGGAAAAGTTAAGTTATTTTCCCAGAGTAACACACCTAATAAGTTTCTGAGGTGGAATTTGAATTCATATATTTTGGATTTCAAGTTTATCATTCTATTCTTTGCATTAACTAGTTGCATAACCTGGCCATGTTACTTAATCTGTCTTTGCCTCAGTTTCCTACTCTGAATATTGGGTTGCATGTGTGTATGTATGTATGTGTGTATGGAGATAGGTCTCCTCCCTTTGCGGTCTATGTCAGTTACACATCTATGATCTTAAGATATGATTCTATGTATTCCCTCACTGGGCACCTTAAAGAACCATTTTAACAAGATTGAATTCAACTTAATTACCTAATCATCGTTCAAATCATTGTATCCTATATCTCCCGCTATTTAGGCAAACAAGACAGAGTGATGTGACCTAGCAAACAGTATAATTAGATGTTTTAGGAATGTATTAAATGTTGGGACACATAGTATAAACACTAATGATTCAATATTATATTACAATGGGCTATCCACAAAGAACTCTTAAGATCTCTGCTTGGTCTTGGACTGTTTAGCATTTTCGTCATTGACTTAGATAACTATGTATTTGACTTCCAAAATATACTTGCAGATGACACACCTTAGGATGGAGAGATAAAACAATTCTAACATTTCCCTCAGAAGAAATTTTCCTAATAGCTATCTGAAAGGCTTGTTGAGACTTTCCTGTCTTTCAAGTTAGTGGATGGAAAGAGTTGACACACATGTTCACCACTGTTGCAACCAGCACCTTTTTCCTCTGCTATAATCTATCGTCTAGCTCTCCTTATTTCACATTTACTCTATCTCTATCACTATGTCTCTATATGTATATCGTATAGATCTCAATGATCTCTACATCATCTAGTATAGCTACAACTTCATCTATATCTTTACCAAAATCTTTCTTGATGTAATCTACTGTCCTCTAGATCACCTTCCTTCATTTCTCTAAGAGTTCAGTACTTGGCTCATAATCTTTCTCTCCGTTCCCAAACTACAACATACTTATTTTATCTTCAGTACTTCTGCCTACCAATTCATTGTCCTCAAGTCAGTTGGTCAAGAGTCAATATCCTTTGTTCTTAAAGAGGGTCATGATGTCATATCTTGTCAAAAATGTGAAAAAAATAAAGTTTGAAGATTAAAAATGTGTTAATCACTGCTCAGATGCTGGTTTATACTTTATTAAGAACTTTTCTCCCAAATACCTCCAACTTTTAGCCTTTGTATATTATTTTCATATTGCAGAGGAGGAAACCGAGGCTCAGAAAGATGAAGGGTCAGAAACGATCAAAATGAAATATCTTGACACTGCAATTCAAGCCTTTTTATCATCACCATCATCATCATCATCACCATCTCCACCACCACCACCAACACCACCACCATCATCATCATCATCATGCCATAAAGTTATTTGCCTTGTTTGCTTCTAAGCTTGTTTTAAGAATAGAATGTTATACTGTAGATTAAATCCCTTCAAAAATAATGGACTAAGTCCTTGTAAGGAATCACAATGAAAGGCATGAATCAAAGTAACTATGAGCTCCACTGGCTTTTGTGAGAGCTGGCAATGAAACTTACCCTAGTCAGATGTATGTACAAGGATGCTTTCTCACATATAAAAGAAAATTCTCACTTTGGTGATGATGTGCCCATTGGATAGAAAGGTGGTGGCAGAATTGCTCAGCTACTGAGTCATTCAGTGATTAATGGAAAGAGTTCAGGATCATTGCCTCCAGGGTCTCTTGCACCTTAAATCTAAGAAAACTGAACCTTATTCAGTAATATTTTCTCTAACAATTCAGAAACAAAAGAACGAAAGAGAACACTTAGATACTAGGGAGGACTCATTGTACCCTTATGACAAAAGGCAGAAATGAGTCTAAATAACAATGTTCATGTCTCATCTCCCTTTACCTAGTCACAGAAAAAAAATATATCTAAATAGAATCCTATAAAAGTTCAGGGACTTATTTTCATACCCGGAGCTGTGTTCTCAGAGGAACTAATTATCAACAGTGTCAGAAGTACTTTGCCTGAGAAGATCTATTATTTTGGGAATGTGTTTGTGAAACAATGCACACAAGTCTTGTTTCTTCTTCTCTCTTTATTGGAGCCTTCAATTAGGTGCCTAGAAGTAAGATAATGAAATGTGTCAATTAGGATTAAGCCTCCTGGAAGTTAGTACCTGGTTCACCAAGGATTCAATATCCTACCTGAGTGGCAGAGTCAGGGAATGTTAGACCAATTGTATTTTCACTGACGTACACTCCATACTGGCTTAATGGGAGTTGACAACTGTAGATCTGCAGCTAATTGTCTACTTACTTTATCAACCCCTCAGCATGTATCAGTTTAGGAGGAGTTGTTAGGCATAAGGAGACAATAACTGTGCATACAATTACTGTGGATACTTTTTTTTTCTATTATAGATGTAAATGGGTCAAAATTTTTCCCATGAGGCATTGAATGGAATAGAGGATGATAGGGATTTTGTTATTATTGCATTTAGTTTCTTTTGGTTTTCACTCTCAGTTAATACTGTTTCAGAACCCCATTGCAATGACGTGGATCTTCCAATTCAACTGAGTCAACCTGAACATCCCCAAATCAGAGATTCAGATTGTTTCTATGATGATTTTCACCATTACCTTGAGTATGATCATCTATGGTGAAAGTCAAATTAAAATAAAGGCTAGACATTCTCCAAATGATAAATGTTCAAAGAAAATAAAGACCTTTTTTTTGGTTGGGCAATGGGGGTTAAGTGACTTGCCCAGGGTCACACAGCTAGTAAGTGTTATGTGTCTGAGGCCAGATTTGAACTCAGGTCCTCCTGACTCCAGGTCCAGTGCTCTATCCACTGTTCCAACTAGCTTCCCCATAAAGCCACTTTTAACATGAAGAAATTCAAATCTAAACTAGGAATAGAAATAGGAAAAAAAAGTGTTCAAAATCATTAATAACTAGAGGAATTCAAATTAAAACAACTCTGAAGTTCTACCTTATACCCATCAGATTGGCAAAGTTGGAAAAAAAGATAAATTGCAAATGCTAGAAAACTAAAATATGAATCCATTGTTTTTGGAACTGTCAACTGGTCTGGCAATTCAGGAAAGCTTTTTCAAACAATGTAATATACATTATTAAATTATACATGTTCTTTGATTCAACAGTACTAAATTAGATCTCCATTTGAAAAGGAGAAAAAGAACCATATGATATGCATACATGCATACACCCAGAGAGACATATATATATATATATATATATATATATATATATGTATATACACACACACACACACATATGTATGTATATATAGCTGATATATGTGACACATATCTCTATCTTTATTTATATCTATCTGTATTTCTGTCTTTCTATCTATCTATATCAGCCTTTTATGGTGGCAAATGAATTGGAGTTCTGCCAATAATTTGGGGAACAGCTCATAAAATTATGATTTATGAATAGGATGGAATTGTGCTATAAAAATGATGACAAGTATGTACTCCACTATAAATTTATGCTACATAATTTCAACTTTGCCCTCACTGCTGTCAGGCAATCCTATTGTACTTCACTTATCAATGCTCTATCCCACTCTCCACAGTGGCTCTTCCAAATTTTTCATCTCTCCTCTAACTTCATATGTCTCTCCTTTCCCCCACTCTTTCATCATCTCATATTTTACAGAAATAAAAATGAGGCTATTTGTCTTGAATTCATTTTTCTCTCCTCTTTCTCCTCTCCTATCACTCAGACACCTTCTGCAATTTTCTCTTCCATCACTCCTGTTTCTCACAATTAAGTAGCCTTACTCCTCATCAGAACTAACACCTTTACTTGTTCTAATGATCTCATTTCATCCCATCTTCTCCAACAGGTTGTCTTTTGATCCCCATTCTTTCATTTTTTCACTTATTCTTCCCCTCCTCTCTCTTTCTCCTTGCTTATTTGCTACTGCCTACAAATATGTCCTTGTCTTCCTCATTCTCAAAATTTCTCACTCAACCCTTCTGTGCTTACTATTATCTCATATATCTTCTGCCCCTTTTATCTAAAATCCTTGAAAAGGCTATCTACAATAGGTGTCTTGATATTCTCTCTTCTCACTCTCTTCTTGACCCCTTACAATCAGGCTTTCAATGATATCATCCCACCAGAATTTGTCTCTCCAATGTTACTAATGTTCTCTTAGGAGACAATGCCATAGTTTTTTTTCCCCTCAATGTTCAGTCTCCCTGACCTCTTGGTAGTCTTTGACACTGTTGACATTCTCTGTTCCTTTATATTTTTTTCTCTCCGAGTTTTCAGGACACCACTGTCTCCTGGTTTCCATCCTAGCTCTCTGACAACACCTTCTCTGTTTTCTTTGCTGTGTCTTCATCCAGATTTTGCCCTCTAATCATAGGTGTAACTAAGAGTTCTGTCTGGGACTTTCCTCTCTTCTCCTTTTATACTTCTTCACTTGGTGAATTCTATGGA